GTACGCAGGTGTTTGACTTTCCTCCCTGAGAACAGCCCGGTTGGAGCTAATGGGGTGCTCCCGGTGTGCAAAGGTAAGCGTGTATGCAAATCTTCGCAGGCTCGAGGCATCACCTCGGCCGTCAGCGCCCAGCACCTGTGAAACCAGTGCAGTAATAAGTTTGGTAATAATCTGCTCAGAGCCAGACTGTCATGTCCAATTCTGCTGGGGTTATTTAACGGAGCCGTCATGATGGGTGACAAAAACACCCTTCCAAAGATAAGCAGAAGGGGGGCACAGGAGGCTTCAGGAAGATACGGACTATAATCCCCACGTGGGTACCGGTGTGTTTTATTGTCTGAGAAATGGCACGGGGACATTACAGAACCTGGGGACCGTCCGCAAGAGATCGCGTGTCCCGTGTCTTTCTCCTGTCGAGTGACATCTCCGTGTGCCAGTGGCCAGACAGGCAGCGCTGACGTGTCTCCGGTTGGGCCTTTCCACAGTCTCAGCGTGGATCTGACTGTGGTCACGGGCGGGGAGACCCTGGGTAACGGGACAGGGGATGCGCTCACGAAGAAGCCTCGATAAACCCCTGGGGCTGTGCTAAGGTATCGAGTGGATCGTGCAGAATAAATTGCCGTCCAAGTTGCAGCAAGAGAAGTTGAGGTTGGATATTAGGAAAAACTGTCTCCCTAGGAGGGTGGTGAAGCACTGGGACGGGTCACCCGGAGACGTGGTGGAGTCTCCATCCTTGAAGACCCGGCTAGACAAAGCCGTGGCTGGGATGATGTACTTGGGGCTGGTCCTGCTTGGAGCAGGGGCTGGACTAGATGTGACCCCCGGAGGTCCCTTCAACCCTCATCGTCTGTGCTGTCCATGATCCTGTGAACTAGGCACAAAACTACCGCTGTCGTGTGACCGTAGACTTTGAACCTCAACGAGCATCACTGGTTTTCCCCCTCCACGGCCCTCTCCTCTCTGCATTGCCACGTTTGTCATTCCAGCATGTTGCTTCGCCGGGTCCGGAGGCGCTGGGACGCAGAGAGGCAGCTTGGAGGATGCTGCCCTACTCCCAAGCGGGACGCATGAAGGAAACCAGACCTGCGCATTGGCTACTGGACACGCTAAGGGCCCTGCCAGGAGGGCTCTCATCCGGACCCCTCCAGCTGAGCTGATGACGGGCTGAAATGTGGGAATTTTTTCTTCATTCCCATCGTTTCCAAGGGGATTTAGGAACCAAACCAGCACGGGAGGGATGGAAAATCCCACTCTACAGGGGTGAGCTAATTCCCACTGGGAAATTTGCCATGTTCTTGAAAGGGCGGCAGGCAGGAGGAGGTCAGAAATCCTCCTCCCCGGTGTCTGTCTGTGCTGGACCCGAGCCGGCGAGGCCGGCGGTTTCCTGATTCGGCAGAGCCACCTGCTGGAAGCTGGCAGCAGCGCTGCAGCGGGGCTCAGCACCCAGGTGCGCTGCAGCGGGGCTCAGCACCGCCCCACAAATGGGCCTGGCCGGCATCCACGAAGGCTCCTGGGCCCCGGCAGCAGCTGCCCTTGCACCCAGCATCGCCCTCCCGAAAGCCCCCGTGTCTATCTGTGGGGCTGCCTGGGTTTTGTGGACGTCCCAGCTCCCCTGGCACCCAGAGCTGTGCGTCTGCCCGGGCCTGGGGCTGCCCTGCTCTTGACAGGGCAGCCGGAGCCGGCTCCAGAAAGCAGGTCCTGTGGTTCTGGCATGACGAAGACACGGGACAAGGCTCCTCGCCCCTTTCTTTGCAGGCTCAGCTCCTCCTTTCCTGGCCTGGGAGGGAACAGGGAGCTTGGGTTCGATTCCTTCCTCCACCTCGGCCTCTGCCCTGGCCCCCATGCTTGTTTGGGAGGAGGGGAAGGACACTCTCCTCCCCTCCTGTTAAGGGCACGTGGGTTTGGGTGCTTAGGGCAGCCCTTGCAGAGGGAAAATCCTGGCCTCCAGCTCCTGAGACCACATCAGACAGGGAATAAAATAGGGGAGGCCGATGTGGGGGCAGAACATGGGTGCCCTCCCCATCCCCGGACCAGTCTCTGGTGCCCAGGCATGTGATCTTTCTGCCTTCGTGGACTCTGAATGTGTGTCTGCGCCGTGGCCCCGATTCCCCAGGAGCGCGTTGCGCCTGGCAGAGCCTGCAGCTTGCGCTCTCCTGGGAGGTGGGAGAAGGGCTTGAATCTTCACAGGCAGAGGAAAGAAACCTAATCCGGGTCTTCTGCATCCTGCATTAGCAGAAGGGAGGCTTGTCCCCCAGCCCTATTTTAAAAGCTAGGATGTTGGCACCTATCCTCGGGAGAGCATCTGGCTTCCACCACACGCTGCACAGGCAGCCAACATGCAGCTCTCGACCTTACCTAGCACCTGAAGTGCCCAGTGCCTAAAGTTTCGATGTGAGACACCTCGTCGGGCCTGCCCCTAGCTCTCCCCGTGGCAGCGTCTCGCCGCGAGCGCGACCAGGTTCCTTCCAGCGCTGCATTTTTGCAATGCCTGGTGCTTCTGTTTTGACCAGCTAAAATAGTTGTGCTTCCTCTGCGGCTGATACAGATGTCAGCGCAGCTGTGCTGGCATTGCTGAAGCTGTGACAGGGGCACAGCAGTTGATGAACTACCTGCGATCCTCGCCTTTGTGCACGGGAAGACGCTGCTCAGTATGCAGAAGCGGTCGTCGGTTTTTATGCCACCTTCTCCCGGCCTCCTCCTATGATAATGTTCCTGTCGTTTAATCACCCACAGGGTGTGCTATGAGCTGGAAGCCCGGTGCGACTCATAAAATATGGATGCTATTGATCTGCTAAATGCCAGCTAGTCCTTAATGTTATTGAGGAATATTTCAGAGATTCAGCTGGCTCAGTGCTTCTCAGCTCGTCTTGTCCCAGGCGCCCCTTCTCCAGGCAGATCCTCTAGCGAGCGCTTCATCACCCCGTCCTCTTCCCAGACCTTCCCTGCAGCAACTTATAATGCTTGGTTGCACAAAGAAGTCACATGAGGACAGTACCAGGGGAATGGGCACTAGCTCGAGTACGACAGGCTCGGTTGTTTGGCTAGGCTGCTTCCCTCCCTTCCTTCCATTTTGTATCGGTGCCGACTGCTTTGCTGGAGGGCTTTACGTTTAATACGGCTGTATCTCCCCTCGTTGCCTGCAGCCCCTGCTGCTGCAATCTCTCCCTGGTCCCCCCTCTTTGCAATTTGCTTCTGCTTTAGGGTTGCCAACTCGGTTTGAATGTATTCCGGGAGGTCTCCCTGCTGCCAATGTGCCTGCGACACACAATGCCAATGTGCCCGTGTGCTTGCGTAGATCGGTTGTGGCAGTCTTTGTACCTAAAGCTAGACGGCACGTTACTATTGCATTTTAAAAAACCCACGGGACTGCTGTATACATCAGATTCAACATTTTAATACCTATTTTAATCAATGACCTATCATTTATCTCCCGGGTGACTCTCAGCAGTCTCCTGGAGATTTATATCTAATTCCTGGGCAATCCTGGAGGGTTGGCAACCCTGTCCCACGTGTTTTGTGTTCATTATAGCTCGGGTGGTGTCTGCAGCTTTGATTGTGGTTGAAGCCAGGCCAAGGGAATAGTCAACAGAGAGAAACGAATGGTGGGCAGCTGTGCCAGGAACAGCGAGTGACGTGACATTTCTGACTTCAGTTGTCCTCAGAGGCTTCTGGAGTCCTTTGGAGGCTCTTGGGGTTTGTCCAGAGTTGTTACCAGTGTTATGGAACAAGATATTCTGCAACAGTGGGTGTGTTTACACATGCACTTTAATGCACATTAGCCTATTTTAATCCGCATTAAAGCATCACAAAAAACTGGGCTCTAGCTAATGCATTGGTATTAAAATAGGCTAATGCATTGGCAACACATAGTGGGTTTGCCCCTGAGATCAGCCATGTACCCCCTGGAAGTGCCAGCTGCGAAACTGGAAGTGCCACCGGAAGTGCACTTCTGGCTCGGGGATGGGCCACTGGGGGACCCCCCACCCCGTTACTGCTCCCCCCTGGTCGGCAATGGGCTGCTGGGGGATCCCCTGCCCTCCCATTGCTGATCTGGTGTCCCCAGACTTGGGGGGCACCAGTCACCCATGGGCTAATACACATTTTTCTAGTACCCAGGTACTAGATTTAATGTGCATTACCTAAAGTGCATTAATGAACGTTTAGATGCGCTCACCGTTAGTCTGCAATAACTTCCTCTATTAAAATGATTTAACTCTGGAATAATTAGTACCTGATTATTAGGTGTCAAACCCTATGTCTCCAGTGAGAACCAGTGGCCTCACTTGTATGTTCAGAATCACGTGAGCGGTCTGATTCATGGTCACCTGTTGTAAGAGTACATGCAGTTTTATGGAAACCAAAGGATTTGAGTGTTTACACCAGGGCTAAATGTAGCTTGCAAGGACAAAAATAAAAAAGGAATCCAAAGAAGTTAATTATTGAGTGCTGATACTTCTGTAAATCCCATCCCCCTATTATCTGAAGCCCTGGAGATATTAGCGGATTTGAAGAAGTGTTATTGCTCCTATTGTATGGAGGGGGAGATGAGGCACGTAGATGAGTGGCAGCACTTGCACAAAGTCACCCAGTAGTTGTCAAACAAGTGTAGGCATCCTTCATACCCACACACAGTGATTTAATGATCAAGGAGAAAGGACAATGGGAAAATGCAGGAAAGGTTGGTAGGAGTCATCCCTTTCCCCCCCTCCAACTTGGAAACTCTGATTAATGTAATTAGATCAAAAAAGTCTGTGGGCAAGGGCTGCCCTTTATTTGTGTACAGCACCTGGCACAATAGGACCCTTCTCCTGAATGCCACCTCCATCTGCCACCATAATACAACAGGCAAAGACGCTATTTCCATGGGGTGGGACATTTCCTGTCGTCCTCTGCTCCTTCTCAGTTTTGTAGCAGATATTACTGACCATCAATGCACTATTATCAGATATCTATCTACTCAAATGGCTCCCAATGCTACAAGATGTGAGTGCCTTTGAAGGTGAGCGTGATAAGTGTTTATTAGGTTATCAAACAAATAGCTTTTTCTTTGGACAAGCTTTCTAAATCGTTCCCAAACACGAACTACATAGGATCTATACTTTTTCACTGTGACACTAAACGGTACAATTATTTAAAAAAAATACATAACCCTAAAATAATCATAATGTATTAGATGCATTACATAATGCACTCCGCAGTGAGCCCTCTTCTAACGGAGGGGTTATACAGACCGCTCAGCTGTGCAGATCCTCTCCAAATCTCAGTGATTTTATAACTCTACCAATTAGTCCTTTACTTCCATATGTGACTGCTGGGATCAAGGAAGTTGTAATATAATAATATTGCCACACTGGCCCAGGCATCACCAGAAATGTGTGGGATGCTGCAATAATGAATTGACTAGGATGCGTGCTTAAAATATTCCTTTTAGAGCTGAGCACGTCTATCAAGCTTTTTAAAAAAAAAACCAAAACGGGCATTTCTGGGAAGACGGTCTCATTTTGTGCATCTTCAGAGCTCTGCTGTAGCTCTGCAAGGATCTGTCCCATGTAAGAGGACGCAATAGAGAAAACTGAAATGAAAGAAATATGTAGGGGCAGCGGCAGTAGATGGAAAAGGTAGAGAGCTGATTGTTGGGTTACGTCTGATGGTCTCTGATTTTTATTTCCCCCCCACAGAAGCTGCAGCAGGGAAAGGTAAATGATTATGGCACCAGCCTGGGATGCAGGAGATCTGGTTTCTGCTCCTTGCTCTGCTGCAAACTTCTTACATCGGGATAAGAGCAGTGCTCTGTCTTGCAAGGGTGCTGGGAGGAGAGATGCATCCAAATCCATAAGCAGCAGGGTACGGGTGGCCGGACAAGTGTTTGATACAGAGACCCTAGATCTGGCTTTTCCACCCCCCTGGGGACTCTCAGTGTTATAGGAGAGAAGGGAAGGCTCTGGAGATCAGGAATGCACGCCTGGCTTTTCCCTTCTGACCTTGGACAAGTCGCTTCATTTTGCTGGGGAAAATCCTGGCCCTGTTTAAGGGATATCTCATTCCAGTGGTTCAAAGATTTCAGTCTTTATGCCTCAATTGTCTAGAAAAGGGATTAGAGTATCTACTTGACAAGCCTTCGCATTAAATCTTTAAGCACTTTGAGGTCTCCTAATGCATGGCTTTACCTAGCTGCATCTCTTTGCTATTACCTTTTTGATTGGTGATGGGGTCCTTGCTTCTCTTGTCATGTCAGCGAGGGCTTTTTTGGTGCTGGGTGCAAGGCTGCGGGGCCTAGGCCAGGGAAATTCATACGTATGCCATCCTTGTGTTGCATGACCCCAGGAGTCCAGGGGCTGGGGGCATAGGGGAAAGCATCACGAGAGCTGCAGTAAGAATACTGGCAATACTGTTAAGCTGCAAGATGGCCAAGAGCCAAGCTGTGAGGAGCCCTGCAAAGAAATGAAGACATCTCCTGCAGAGCCCATGAGAAAGCTGAATAGTGGGAGTATGGACAGGAATTTCAACAGACTCCAATCCTTTTTTTTCCCCATCAGGGTCGTGCTGCAGCTAGTGACAGGCTCTGCTTTATTTTCATTTGATTCCACGCTATACCCTCCGTCCTGTTGTCCCTGCCTGGCCCCATCCCCTTTAGCTTCCAGCTTGTTTGCTTTTCCTGCAGGCTGAGATCCACAGTGCTCACTGCTGCATGAACAAGGTCAAATTGTTTGCCCGGCTCCTTGAATTCTGCTAACAGCGGCAAGTTACTCATTGACTTGCCCTGGAGAGAAAGCTGTCCTGAATCTTCAGGCAAGACCGTTGCTGCCCCAATAGGTCACCTTTGTCTGCATTCCTGAAGCTGCCAGGCATACAGATAAGGTTGGAGAGGGGTTGCATGGGATCAGCAGCATACTGCTGATGTAAAGCCTGCGGCTTTTGCACCCAGGAGATAACTCTGCCCTCCCCAAAACCTCTGACAGCAAGAAGCTGGGAAGTTGCAGGATTTTGGGTGCCTGCGGGGAGCTGGGCCAGCGAGGGGACTGGCAGGGGAGAAGGGATGCAATGGAGTCTGCGTTCAAGAACTGGGTGGAGTGACGACAAACAGCAATGGGAAACCAGTGCGTTTGCAGATATACCAGGAACCAGCTCTGGAAAGCTGTTCATCCACCACTTGTACCCTAACATGCACGGCCCAAAAGCAAGATCCAGCTGGTTTGCAAAACCGTATCTTGGACACCTTATTTTTTATATTTTGGAACATTTTTTGTGTCCCAGGTCCAATTAGCCACCACCTCCAAAGCCTTATATGGCCTTACTACTGGTGACACTTTATGGTTTTCAAACCTTTGTGCTCTGGATGCAGCCAGGCAAAGTGCTTCCTCATTAAAGCTGCAGTCGCTTGTGGCAGGGATGGGGGGAGAAGTCCGCAGAGCCGGGGCCTGGCTGACATTTGCTCCTGCACCGCCTTCTGCTCCTGTATTGAATGAGAATCTGCAGAGGGATCAATAGAGCAAAAGGCTACTCGGGGGTTTCAAAGGCAGGCTTTGTACCTAAAGCCAGCTCTGCGCTACCGCCTTTTGCTGGCTAGCTCTGTCTGCTGGTGTGGGACGAAGTGCGACCCTCGACGGACAGAGTTGTGCAGGCCTAGTCATTATTAAAGAGAAGCAACGGTCGGTATGGTTGGCTGTTTTGCATCGTGGGAGCGGGGCAGCTTGTCCTGTATCAGCTGTGTCCGTCCTGGGAAGTCTCTGCCAGCCCAGAGCGCTGGGAGCAGGACCGCAGGGCGCACGGTAAAATCATCCCTGCTCTCCAGAGCTTGCCATCTAAATAGACATGCGGTGGTGGGGACAAAAAGCAAGGAAATGTTTTCATGCCCTGTTTATCATTTGAGAAGAGTAGTTTAAAAAAAAAAATACATTGCCTGAAAACAAATGACCCTTTCATCGCTCAGAAACCGGCACGCTGAAAAGTTCAAAATTCGCATGTAAGGATCGTGCCCTTTTCCAAGCTCATCTGAGATCTGTATCGGGTTCTCTCACCAACTTCTCTCCTGGTCACTTGGCTCTTGGTCTTGTTTAATCATCAAATTGTGAAGGCTGAACAGGTTCGGGTCCCACAGTCTGTCATTGTGAGAGGCTGCCCCAGGGCTCGGTCCTTGGGCCCGCGCTGTTCAATCTCCTTAGCAGCGATTTGGACGATGGGGTGAAAAGCACCCTATTAAAATTCGCTGACGATACCACAATTTGGGG